GTAGAGTTTGTTAAGTTAATTGATACACCAATTCAAATATTTAATTGTAAAAAAAAATGCAAGCCACTCCACATTACACATAGCCTTATGTTTCCCTATAAACAGACACATTTTTATTACATATCGCTTGAACCTTGGATGTCTTTTTGTATCACTAAATTTTTGTACTAAAATCCATACGAATACTTTTCATAATTAAATTTTCAAATTAAATCAGAACTACCTGTTTTCTTAGCTTATTAGGTGAAACAAAGTGCTATGTTCAGAGGAAAAAGTAGGCTACAAGATATTCATAATCAGTATATATTTGCAGCTTCATCTCTCTGTATCTCAGTTCACCAGCTCTAAAATAAGGATGGTTAAGCCTTGGTAATACTCTCTATATAAAGACAACTCACTGCTAGTCGTGCATTATTTGTAGCATGGAAAGGAAGAGAAAAGCTCCTGACAAAACCTGAGCCTAAATTAGGTATCATATAGTATATAAGGCAGAAAGCCATGAAGTAAATGGGGAGGAGAAAATGAAATATTTAGTGTTTTTTTTTTTTTCCAATCAGTGATACATTATGCTCTGCAGAGAGTGTAGAAAATGTCTCTGGAAAAGAGGTTTGTGAAGTCGTTCAGATCAATCTATTACTACAATGCAGAAGGGAGTGGATATTGAAGATGTGCAAGCAGAGCTTCTCCCTCTTATGCAGAACAAAATTGTTGCTGTGTAGTTTTTACATTAACTGTATTTTACATTTTTCCCAGATAAACACTCACTGGTTGCTGGCATTCATCAAAGATTGCCAACAAGCTCAGTGGTGCTTTTTTCATCGTATGGAAATGGCTCATGATTCATTTTCCCCTTTACTCAAAGGTATACAAGGAGCTCACATTCCTCTGTCAAACTGTATTTCATATTGCATTTTGAACTTTATTTCTACCAACTCTCTGGCAGAGAGGTCAAGGAATGTGAGAATCACATTAATCAGAAGAATTTCACAAGATTTTTTCCTTATGGGTTAGAATAACTGACCTCCCTACTGCACCTATGCATTGTTTGTATCTCGTAAACTATATGTCAGGGCAGCAAAAGCAGACTTTTCATTATTTTACATCTCCTACTGATGCTTCAGTGATGCACAAAAGGAATTTAGTTCCTTGAAAAGGAAACTGAAGTCAGTGGTCAATCTTCCATAAAATTGGCAGCATGCTAAAATAGTCTTTAAGTGGGCCACATGTTCCTGCCTTTCTCTAAAAGTTGGTGGCCTATTAATGCAAAATTTCCATCTTTTTTATTGTTATAGAGAATATTCAACTGTTATGATCAAAGGTTCATAAACTCCAGTCTCGGAGTCTCCAGGTCAACCTCGCTTTTGCTCTCTCACCCTTATACATTTGGAAGAATTTGATTATGTAGGCCTTGATGCTTTCACTGTCTTTGTCTATTACTATCCCCATGTTACATGGCTAATTATACTGAAAAATACAATGTTAATACAATGTTAATGAAGCATATGCATATTCACCCTTATTAGTGAAAAAAAATAGACGTAAAATTTAACATTAATACTAGGACCATTTTGTAGAACCTAAACACTTTAGCAAATATTGGTCAGTCATAGCTAAAAGATGAAAACATCACTTGTGGAAATCAGACTAGTAATTACATATGACTTATTAAGAAAAAAAAATCACTATTATTAGCACATCCAAATATAAAACATGATATTCTAGCCTAAGAGTGAATATAGCAAGTGTATTTTCCAATAAACTGTCCGTTCATACACTATGCAAATAATTAGCTTCTAAATAAATACACTATGCAAATAATTTAACTTCTTCAAACTTACCAAATTGTACAAATTGCGCCTGATCTGCTGTATGACTCCGGGAAATGCTGGCTTAAGCAGCTCCTGGTAACTTGCAGGCCATGTGCTATAGCTGTGATCTTTTTCTATATTATTAACCCACTAAAATATAAAGGCCAGTCATTAGAAAAAAACACCTGACATTAAACAAGGAATAAAATACATATACGTAAAGTTATTTTTAAAGCATTCAGCCTAAAAAGAATAAAATGGTCTCTCTTGTTTTTGAATGCATAACAGAAAATAGCCCCTAAAATGAGTATTCTTTTTTTCTTTTCAAACTTTATTTCCTTTTTATTTACAGTACACTATAAAACTAATTTAGGATGGAAAAGGAAATGTGAATAAAGCCACTTCCGAAGTGTGGAAACTATTTTTACAGTACAAAAGTTGTAATAACACTTCTCACACATATCACATATGCAAGCAACATATCATAACTATCTCATAAGAAAAATAAAAATATTTACCTATTTATTAAGTGCCTTAGCAACACTTAACATGTATCAAAATACCTAAGTAATTCACATATGGTCAATTACTGCCAATCTGTATATGCCTCTCTACAAAAATACAGTATTCTGAGTACTCCTTTTTCCATTTTCCTTCACATTACCATTTACTACTGTGGACTGTTCTGTGCAAGAATGCCTATAGTTATTAAACAGAAGAGGGACATATTGTTCTGTCAGGTGAAAAATATAAATTATTTCATGCCTTTTTCATTTACAAATAGCATTTGTAACGGAATTTGTATAAAGTTTGAAAGATGAGAAAAAGCAGCAGTACAAACACAAGGGCTTAATTCCTAAGTCGGTCAAATCTCTGGACAATTAGAGATATTTAAGTTACAATTAACTTTCTCGTGTGCAAACTATATTTAGCACTCTTGCATAATAAAAAGACAGCGTGCAGCCAGATTAATTGCTATAAAATCAAATTCTTAGACAGTTCAGCAATTGTGCCAGGTACATTCCTCTTTTCTTTTAAACATCCTCCATGTCAAAGAAATACCATCTTCTAAAGTATTGTATGCTGCTTATTGATATCCTAGGCTTTTATGTCTATTATATTAATGGAAACACTACCAAAAAGGGTAGACTGTCGCACATGTATCAAATCAAATAAGCAACATTTAGAACTGATCATTTAATGACTCACTACTATCGAAGAGTGACGAATATCCAGGGCATAACTGTCACCTGCAGGATGTACTTGCAATCTCATAAATTTACTCAGGATCTCCCCTTTGATTCCAAGCTCATGAAGACCATGCATCACTTTTCCTTCCAGTTTGAGAGTCTCTAAGATACTTTTGCAGGGAGACAAAATGCATAACATGCACATATAAACGTTAACATGACATTAAGTGCATTTCAGAAGACTTAATGGGAGGATTATTTTTAGTTTTAAAAATAATTTCGAAGTTTTCCTGCAATCCAATTTTTAAAACAGAATTAACTAACAGCCCAACGCCTATATATTTTATCTCAAAATAACACCATAAAAGATTAGAGAGCATTTCTTATATACAAGGAAACATGCCCCATCTTTTGTAAGATGGCAGCTCGTTTGCACTGCACAGGCTGAGGCAGAACCCCAGAGCAGAGGCGCTTGCTTCCCGGCCGGGCAGGGGGGCAGAGAGTGGGTGGTGGAGAGGGACAAGGAGCATGCCAGCATCATGGCAGTGACCGTGGGAACTCTGGAAGCAGCAAGGAAAAAACACTGAGCTAAACCTCAGAGATGATGCAAAGCAAAATGCTTTCCAGCAATCCCGACTGTGCTCTGTAACATTTCGTTGCACTCTGAAAAGTCAAGATGAGAATGGAAAAAAAAAAAAAAAGAGAGAGAGTTGCATGCCAGGACACAGTCTTCTATTCAAATCAAACCTAGTATTAGCATTAATAACCTCTTTTCATATTTGGAGCGCTCATTAGAAAGATGCAAGTTGCTCCATCTCAAAGCTCTGCCTGGTTCGTGTTGCAGAACAAGTGTGAAGGACATGACTCCAGCAGTAGTTAAGTCACTGGGAGAATTTTGGCAATATAAAAAAATGCAAATATCCAAATTTGAGCTAAAATTTGTTTCAGGTTTTTTTTTTTTTTTAAATGTTACAGATACACATCAAGGCTTCGGTTCATCTCATGTAAAACTTGGCTACCTGCAACCAGGCTTAGAAGCATAATCCTTCATGGTTCCTTGAAAACCTGTAGTCAATATAATTCAGGTGGCTTCACAGCAATCCACATTTTAAATAGTTTGAATGTATCTCTGCCTACCATCCAACCACAGTCAGCTATGAAAAGTCTAAGTCACCCTAAACATCTCAGATTTCTAAATAATATGCAATGCTTATCTTGAGAAAAACACTACACGTTCACTTACATGATTTACTACTAAATATCTCTTTACACAAAAATACACACAGAGAACCTGAAGAAAAAAGTCAAGCTCCAGGGAATACTTTTAAGACTGCAAGCAAAGCACTGTGTATATTGAACATATTAAGAAACATTTAAGGAAAAAAACTTATGCAGGCCACCAAATAATGAGTCTGAAGTGGTCATTCTGATTTGGCTGTTGGCAGCATACAGAATGTCCACAATTTATATAGCATTTGCTTAAGAAGCACTTGTTCCCACAGATATTAAATGAAAATAACCTGAGGCAAAAATGATTTATTTCAATGTATTAAAAAAGAAGTTGCAATCATCTTTTTGTGACACTACTGATTTAACGGGAAATTATTCCAATACAGGACTATTTTGAATCACTTCTCTAGCAGACAGTCTTTTGAAATCATGCTCATGACCTCAAAAGATGAAAACTTGGGTTTTTCATGTAAAACAGACTGTGCACTGTAAACGGATTTCTTACAATAAAAAGTGTATTAAACTTTAAGAAGAGGACTCCCTTTAAAAAAATGTTCACAGACTCATAAATAAGAAAAAAAAATCCAGAATGTTATATCTAAATGTGGTGCCTACATTTTTCTTTGCAAATTTTAAGAAACAAAGGTGTGCAGTCATTTTATTTTCTGAAAAGGCATTACCCATCTTTAACATACACATGCCATATTCTTTCCATTTGCAAATTAATTTTACATGGTAAGTTTAAAATAGTAAATCAGACATAAAATAGAAATTCTAAAGAAAGTACTATTTTATACTACTTATTAAATGTTCATTATTGAAGTGTGACGGTATTGAAAACACTGTAATCTAATATTCCAATATTCAATTTTAATCCAATTGTAATCCAATAATTTAATATTTAGGGTGGTGATCAGTGGTGCAGAGTCTAGTTGGAGGCCTGTAGCTAACGGTGTCCCCCAGGGGTCAGTCCTTGGTCCAGTCCTGTTCAGTTTATTCATCAATGACCTGGATGAAGGCACAGAGTGCTCCCTCAGCAAGTTTGCTGATGACACAAAACTGGGAGGAGTAGCTGATACCCCAGAGGGCTGCGCTGCCATCCAGAGGGACCTGGACAGATTGGACAACTGGGCGGTGAAAAACCTCATGCAATTCAACAAGGCCAAGTGCAAGGTCCTGCACCTGGGGAGGAATAACCCCAGACACCAGTACAGGCTGGGGACCGACCTT